GGGTAACAAGAGCGAAACTCCGTCTCAAAAAAAAAAAAAAAAAATTGTTTTTAACTTAAGTAATGACCTCCCCATCTGACTGTGTGATACAGAGGAATTCTTCTTTTACTAGAACTCATTTTCAGTGATATGTATGATGGAAGAGGGGACTCCTCTCCCAACCTGGTTCCCGAGGTACAGAAGGCCCGAAATCCTTTAATTGCCTCTTCTGTCTACAGAGATCAGCATGGGGTTACCTACCCACGCATAGGACCTGGCCTAAGACACAGCATGAGGTAGTTTCAATGCTTTTGTGTTGGGTCTTATTGCCAGGGGAGACTCTAGGCAGACATAGCCCAGAGCAGGGTGTGCAGGCTGAGCCCCATCCTCTGGACTGTTAGTTTGAATTTGCCATGCCAAAGCTCTGCTTGGACCATCCAAAGTCCCTCTGGAGTAAGCGCTGACTGCCCACAGAGACTAGCCAGCTGAACCGTGGAATGCGTCCTGTAGGTGTCCGGGAAGGAGCAGGGGCTTCCAGTCTTAGATCAGCCTCTGGAGTAGGGCAGAGTATCTCAAGAGATGATAAGATCAGGAAGATATGGCACTGAGAGTCCTAAGGGAGGACCTCTCTTAAAGGAAGCTTGGCTGGAGGACTAGAAATTGGGATGCCCAAATAACAAAGGACTTTTTGAGAGGGCTCCCAGTTTGCAGCACTCATCTTTGATCTCTAGGAACAGCCCCCCAAAATGAAAGAGAGGGAAAACAGTGAACCCTTCATGAGTTCTTAGCTGGGATGCCCTGGAACACAAGACAGATCAAGAGGAGAAAAACCAACAAGTTGAATATTGAATAGAGTGGATACGTTCTATATCCATGGGAGTTACAGAGAGCTGAGCATCTCTAGAGTAAATCCAAGAGGGAGTTGAAACTTTGGGCTGAAGTATCATCATTTTCTGAAACACAGAAAGAACGGTGTGGGAAAAACTCTGTTATGGGGGAGAGGAATGCCCAGGAAAAGCACAGGAAATGAACAAAACGGGTCACGTTAACTTGGCACCTTCTCCACAGAAACATCTCAAGGGATTCAGTCATCCTCTTCCTGGCGCAAGAATGGAGGTCTCCTTTATAGATGTGAATTCTGTTGCAAAAGGGTAACTTTTCCAGCACATTTAGGGGTGGTGTGTTTTGGTCTCCAACAACAGCTTCTGTTGGGACTCAGGAATCAATATTCCTAAATATGGTGCTTTGGCAAATTGACTACTCAGAAGGCCTTAGAAGCAGCCCCAGCAGCAAGCCCCTGCGACCATTTTCTGTCCTCCTATCTCCCACCTCTTTTCCTCCCCTGCGGCTTTCAGAGAAACCAGAATCCTCCTCCCAAAGTGGGTTATAGAAATCAGAACTCTCCCATAAAGCCAGCCATAAAACCTGAAAGTATTACTCTAACCTTCTCCTGCCTTTCTGGGCAAGAACTGGCTGTAAAGAAATTCTCTGCACTGTCATATCTGAAAGTCAATCATAAGATCTTCATTCCAGAAGGGCCCTGCTCTATAGCTGGGAGAAAGGATTGTCACACAGAGAGGCCAAGAAGAATCTGAGCAGACAGGCCCTGCTGGGTTTTCTCACACAGCCTGTTAGCATTAGAAATTCCCTTTTCGGGCTGGGTGCAGTGGCTCACGCCTATAATCCCAGCACTTTGGGAGGCCGAGGCGGGTGGATCACAAGTTCAAGAGATTGAGACCATCCTGGTCAACATGGTGAAACCCTGTCTCTACTAAAAATACAAAAAATTAGCTGGGCAAGGTGGCGCATGCCTGTAATCCCAGCTACTCAGGAGGCTGGGGCAGGAGAATTGCCTGAACCCAGGAGGTGGAGGTTGCGGTGAGCCGAGATCGCGCCATTGCACTCCAGCCTGGGCAACAAGATCGAAACTCCGTCTCAAA